GCAATTTGTTGATGTAGATAAGAGTAATAAATGAGCATGTTCGTCGCATAAAAGCCAAATTCCAACTGAACGGTTGATTACGTTGTAGGGATTATAATTATTAACAAAAACAACCAAAAAAGAGGGTGAGTCAGACCTGCGCGATAAACATATTACGTTAAGCGTGACGAGTTTCTTAATTATATATTTGTTATTTTTTATTGTATTAATAATCAAATAATGTAATTTCAATTATAGTTTCCAAATATTACGCACCATTTTGAGTAATTAGGGTTTAAAATTTTTGTTATTTTCTAAAGACGTTTTGAAAATAAAATCTTAAATAAGAAACTGTTTTATCCTTATCGGTTGATATTTTTATTGAAAATATTTAAAACAAAAATTATAGATATAAAACTAAAAATTACAAAAATCTAAACAAAATTTTGACCTACAAAAGCGTTTCATCTCAATTTAAAATCAATGAACTATATATATTGATATTTTAAACAACAAAAAACTATATAAATTTTCTAAAAGTTAAAATCAAAGGCGATTTTATAAATAAAAGTGGACTAAACAAGTTTGAAGAAATTTAGTTAAAAAAACTTAAAAATTAGCGAATATTTATTTTAAAAATCCCTAATTTCGATGGCTTTATAAAGCTTGTGGGGAACAAACCCGACAGTTGGCAAGAGTGGTCCCCAAGAAACAAAAAGTTAGCAGCACTGGAGAGAAATGTCAATCATAGATAATAAATACGAGTTGGAGTAGCGAGCGGTACCCAATTTTTAGGAGTAGCACTAAAAACGATGCGTTTACAGCCTGATTTATAGATTGCCTTCCTTCCTTCCTCTTGTAAAAGATTAACAATACGATAATCGTAGTGCTGTTTATAGATTTCCGTACGGGAACAGTTTTCGTATTGTTCATTTTTTACGGGATGGCAACATTGCACAGCAGTGTCGCCAATAAGAGAATATTTATATTCTACACTATTTTGAGTAGTTTAACAACTTTTATATGTAGCCTGTATAATAAAGGTATGTAATACATCCCTTGCAATCGCTATATGTCATATAGCGATTGCAAGGGATTACCGATAAAAAAAATTAAAAATCGACCTGTAGTTAACCAAGGATCATCATTCCAAAGGATTTCGCCCATTATAGAAATTGTACCTCCTAAACAATTTTAAGTGTAATAAATCCCATTTATTTCTTTAAAACACTGATTTTCCTGTAATATAAACTCAATTACAGGAAAATCAGTGTTTTAAAGAAATAAATGGGATTCTATTAGAATCGCTCAATTGACAGGTTTAGACCAACAAATTATAAATGTTAATTGTATCGAGCGCAAGAAGATTTTTCATAAAAAGGTTAAAGTCACCCGCGGGGTGATATTATTTATTAAATTATTAAAAATTGGTAAATGCAAAAAATTATACACTAAAAAATTTTTTTGTTTGCCCAAAATAGACTTTTCACGCTTAAGGGCCCCAACCAGATTTTTGATACGGGGCCCCTCGAGGCTAGCTACGCCACTGATATTTACATAATACATACCTAGTTTGAAAACCTAGACGCCCACAAATTCTACCAGATGAGGAAAAATCAGATTGAAATCTTGGGATAAGATTATGATATTTATGAATTAAATAAACTTTTGGTTCTATGATTGTAATATATTATTATAAATGTATAATGCTACAACCACCCAACTGCATTTTTTTATTTAAAAATATATAAAATCAAAAATATTCGATTAAGTTTCTTTTATATTTTTTCTACCAATATTAAAAGCATTACATTGTCAGATATAAAATAAAAATTCAGAATTCATAAGCCGTATCAATGATAGGGGCCCCCGGCTAGGGGGGCCCCTGATTGGCTTCGACATGCGTAAGCAAAAAACATATTACCCACATGTTAAAAAAATTGAGGCAAGAATTGAAATAAATAAATAAATAAATATTGTTATTATTTAATTGTTTATACGTTGTCTGCGCATATTGTTCTGTGCTCTGAGCCGCCTACTGAGTCTGGTTTGCGTGTTATTATCGTATAGCAAATTACACGGAGAGAAATGTATAGTAAATTTTAGATAGTTAAAAAAATATATTAAAATTTACTTTAAAAAATGTTTAGTTTAACAATATTAAATATTCGTCTGCGCATATTGTTCTGTGCTCTGAGCCGCCTACTGAGTCTGGTTTGCGTGTTATTATCGTATAGCAAATTACACGGAGAGAAATGTATAGTAAATTTTAGATAGTTAAAAAAATATATTAAAATTTACTTTAAAAAATGTTTAGTTTAACAATATTAAATATTCGTCAGTAAAATATAAAGATTGTAATACGAAATAGTATTTTTTATTATACAATTTTAGTAAAGATTACAACACCAATATTATTTTCTACAATTGAATTTTTTTTAAAGAAAGATATAGATTAACTATATTGGCTTCCTAAAGAATTTATGAAAATATACTCAATATTATTAAGTTGTAGAAAAAAATCTTCTTAAAATATCATTCCTCTGGCATGTTATAACTGGAGTCGTCTAACATAAAGGCAGAATAGAAAAATAAATATTCACTCAATAATTGAAGGGGTTAGAATAAAAAGGGTATAAGTAACATTTTCATTGTTTGGAGATATTTGAAGTTAAAGTTATTTTACCATAAAAAAGAGAAGAATTTTGTTTAGTAATGTTTTTCTACTGGATAATAGAGGTTGCTAGAAGTTTGAAAATTACTTAAATCCTTTTCATTTCGATACGTCGGAACCTTATCTTTCACAAAACGAACTTATCTCCTAAATTAAAGAAATTGCACTTATACCCTTTCTATTCTAACCCCTTCAATTGTAATTTTTTATTTTTGGTTTCAGAACCCTGAAATATCAATAAAACTAAGCTAAAAATATATATTACTTTTAAACCACCTTAAAAAATATATAAAACCTGTTACCACCTTTAGCGGTCATTTCTCTGGTTTATAAAGATACCTAAATATATGATCCTAGATGGCGAAAGGTCCGTGCATGCAACCAGAGATTCTTTTCCTAACCTAGTTCTTCCACTGAGTCAGCAAGCAAATATTTTCTAACAAAACAACACGTGTTTTTTTTAAATTTTGTTTTAAAACTGTTAATGTTACACACAGACAGATCATTTATCTGGTAAGTGTATTTTGTTTATTTATATTTTTGTTGCATCCATTATTTGATTTATTTGAATATGAGATTATTTGTTTACTTTTCTGTAAACCAATTTTTAGGTTAGAGTTTGTTTTTTTTTCTTTCCCACGTGAAATAAACTAAGAAATCGCCATTCCTCTGGCACCATTCCTCTGGCATATTAAGACATTGTTACAAATTATCGTCTTACAAATTAGGAAAATTGTAAATGGACGCCGGCACACATACCCAAAAGCAGTCTTTACAAAAAAAAATTGAGAATGCCAAGAAAAAAATGCAATTCAAAAATTTTTGGAATTCAATTTAATAGTATATTCTGTAACAAGTTTGGAATACAGCATATTCCGCTCGAGTGAAGAGTTTGTCACACGAGCCAAAGGCGAGTTTTGACGGTTTCACGAGAGCGGAATATGCAATTCCAAACGTGTTTAAGACTATACTTTTTCTACGTTTCCAAAAAATACCATAGAAAACTAATTTAATTGGAAGAAAGTGAGGTTAGATCAGTCTAAAATTTGTTAGATATTAAAAACAGAGATGTCGCCACGAGTGTTCATTCTGTCATCAGATGATGATCAATATTTCATTCATTAGATGATGATGAATATTTCATTCTGTAACACTTTACGGAATATATGTCATTCCATAGATAAAAGTGATATTAGAAGGGTCAAATTCCCTAATAGGAGTAGAAAAATAGTATTCTATATCCTGAAAAAAAAAATATTGTTCAAAAAAAAGACTAATAGAGCAAAAAATATATCTCATTTTGCGGTAGAAATCTCAGTTGAAAAGGATGTTTCGTACGTTAATTACCAAGATAATAATAATAACATAATAACCATTACGCGTCGCGAAATAATTCAGCAAGGCTCCAAACTGTATAATAAATTTAAAAACTTAATTGAATTTGAATAAAATTAAAGTTCCTATAATAGAACATACAATACAATAACATATAAATAAAATAGTTACTTGAAAAACAAAAATATAAACCTGCTTTATTTCATGACCCATTTTCAAAAAAAATGGTTTACGAAATAAAGAAGGTTTATATTTTTGTTTTGTTTTTTATTTTTATTTTAATTTTTATGATACTGTTTTGTTTTTAAACAAGTTTATATTTAAGTTTATTTTTAATTACTTATTTAGTTTTTATGCTATATTGTATTCCTTTGCCTTTTTGAATAAAATAATAATTTATCTGCTTGCCTCGTCATTCCTCTGGATATAGTTTTAACAAAAACATCGCAAATCTGCTCAAAAAATAATTAAACCGTTTGATCTTTCACTTTGCAGGGTTTATTTTAAACCAAAGGTCGTATTTGCATAATTAAAAAATAAAATTAGAACAAAAAAACTATTTTCAAATTACTATATTAAAAATGATAGTTTCTGTTTAATCACCCATATGCTTTCGCCTAGCACATATTAAAATAAATCATATCAAACCACAGACCATAGTCTGTGTATCAAACCTAACAATATGATTATTGTCGTTTTTTCTCATTTTCTATTGGTCGTACAAAAAAAGTGTCCAATATAAAATTTATTGAAAACCGGAAACTTTGTATATGCCTTTTCAGAAATAAAAATTTCTGTGAATAATACCGAAAAAATACACTTTTATCCCCTGATATTTATTTTAGGTAAAGTAAAAATGCCTCCCGTAATTTTATTTTTTAATTTAACTTAATAAGTGCATTAAAAAACCGGCATAATATAAAATTCCTTAATAGGTTTTTTAATAAGGAGGGCTGTCGCGCAAGCAATAAAATTTATTAATAAGGATTAAATGATAAAAATTGTGTTTCAGTTGGGACGGAAACTACGAAGTAACGTTGATGACAAAAGCCACGCTGAAGTACACTGGAGAAGTAAATTGGAAACCTCCTTCCATATATAAATCTTCGTGCGAAATAAATGTGCAATACTTTCCGTTTGATGAACAAAGCTGTCTAATGAAATTTGGCTCTTGGACGTACAATGGCCTGCAAGTAAGCGATCTTTAAAATTTAAATTAATTTATCTCCAGAAATCCCCGATAAAAAATCTTGATACCAAGATTTATGAATCAATTCCGATTTTATTTTACTTACAAATCACGTTCGACACATTCTTATTCCGTCGTGTTTTTGTAGCCTCATTATTCTTTGTCATTATTACCTTATTACAACCTGTTAATTTTAAAATAAAATTAACTTAATTTGGGGCAGGGTTATGAATGTCTGGTTAAAGTTGCAGTTAGTTATCTGGCAGATAATCTCCATGGGTACCATTGTTCTCACAACGATCGATATGGATATATATATATATATATATATTTTCTCGTTCCGATATTATTTTTTAATTTAAAAATAATAATGATTCTGAAAATTTCAAATCGATATTTTAATTCCTAAAGCTCGCTCAAGATTTTTTTTAACTTTCAAAGTATTTTGAATGTTTTCAAGTGACCTCTGAATATAAACATCAACGAACTTTAACGGCCTTTAGAAATCAAAATATTGATTTGAAATTTAGAGAATTTTTATTATTTTCAACCAAAAAAATAATATTAAGACGAGGAAAAAAAAATAAAACAAAAATTCAATTTTTGACGATTTTGAAAATTTTAAAAAATCTTGAGCTACCCCCAAAAAAATTTTAATTGAGCTGATATTTTGACAGGGCTCTTACAGCATGAAAAACTAAAATATTTTTTCAAGAGACGAGAAAAAAAATATTATTTTTTTTTGGGCCACCCTAATATATTACTATTTTTATTTTTTCGCTTTAAGCATTTAATATTAACTCAAAGTACTCTACCAAAGCGTATAAAGATTTTCCATTTAAAATACATGGAAACTTTGATTATTTTTTTTTAAATATCTATATCTCAGCCGCATTTTATGCTATGGGATTGTTTCAAAAAGGGATTTACTCGTAATCAAAAGTTCTACAAAAATGCTTTATGTGCCATAGCTGTAATCTGCACCTGTATGATGGTACGGGTTACTAAATCTTATTTAAGTGAAAAATTCTCATATTTTTGAAGATATTTTAAAAAATGGCAAAAAAGGACAAACTTGTAGAAAATTTAATTTTCTTTAAAAAATGTCTTATCAGTTGAATCGCTAAGATTGATATTTGTTGAGATATAAAGCGTTTACATTGACAATTTATGAAATTTTAAGGATTTTCGAACCAAACTTTTTATAAATGATGATTTTCAATTGTTTATTAGTACAATTTCATCTAATTACGTTTTTTCTACAGTCGGGTGATTAGAGAAAAATAAATAACTCAAACAATCGTGCATAATTATTAAATAAGTTATTAAATCCTGATAAAACTGTTTTTTGATATTATAAATAATCCATAATATATATATTATGGATTATTTATAATATCAAAAAACAGTTTTATCAGGATATATGGAATACTATAGTATTCCATATATTCTTACATCGTGTAACATTCTTACAAAATAAAGGATGTGAATCCATGTTTATATAAATTTTTTCTTAAAATAGCGTAAGGAATAACGTCCTGAAGTTACGGACAATTCTTAGAAAACACACTGTATATGTCAGGATCAGGGGCGGCTTTGGGATTTTAAAAAGGGGGGTCCAAAAAATATGTCTTCCGATAATAACTAAAAACAATAATATAAATAAGTGTCAAAATGTGGTTTTTCGAATTACAAAGTGAGATCCGTCTCAAAAACCACCCGTGGATCCGCCACTGGTCAGGATTTCCCATATTTAACTTTTTTCAATGATAGAATACTTAATTCCACTTGTTTTTTCCCAAGTCTTTTTTTTAATAAATACATATTTGGAAAAAGTAGTAGTCAACAAATTAAAATTATTTTAATTAAAAAAAATCCTTTATTACAGAAAAAAAATAAAAATAAATATTGAATTGATTTAAGAAAATAAACGTAATCGTTCAATATACTGTAGGATGGGTCTTTTTTGTAAAAAGGAGTCCATTTAAAATATCCAATTACAAAATAATGAATGATTTATGAAGGTTAATTACAAAATTATAATTTTATAAATCGAAGTGTCAAATAAAACGAAAGTTTGTATTTTAATATAGCACTGAATATGTTTTTTGCGGCCCGGTAGAATATTCTGACTAAATTAAAATAAAATAAATAATTATTATAATTATAATATTATGATTATAATCCGCGTCAAAAATTCACTTTTTTCTCGATATCAGTGTGCGGATATCATTTGTATAAATTTGGAAATTTTCAGAAAAATTGACTTTTGCATTTTGTTTGTTTACCTTTGAATAAAATGAAAAAACGCTTTTTTCCGCCGGCTCAATTTTTCCGGAAATTTTAAAACCCTAATTACCATACCGTCAGGGTTTGGTATATGCAAGTATTTCGTAGCTGTGATAAACGATAAGGGCGTAGTCGCTATCCTTACAAGCGAAGCCTAGTCGAGGGTTGGAAACGATGACCCAAACATTGCTGTACTGTGTTATAATAATTATTATCTTCTTTAAACATTATTTAGTTTTTATTTTTTTTTATTAAAAATTTGTTATTATTTTTTATTATTTTTTGTGGAATTTTAAACCTCAGGGCTTTAATTTTGACAGTTATATTTATAACCAAAGTTTATAATATACTTTTGACGATTTTTATCGTTTTTCTACAAAATTCACATCAACACACGCATGTATATTTCAAGGTATTTTTCGTGTAATATAAGAAACTATTTAATGAAATTTGGCACTGAACACACAATGCTGGAAGTAAGCGATCTTTAAAATTTAAATTAATTTTTCCGAGAATGAGAAAATTCTCAATACCTACCAAGATTTATGAATCCATTTCGATTTTATTTTCTTTCAAATGACGTTCGTCCGCTTTAAGGATTTACGTCTAAGATCAATCACCTATAAGTAAATCTTTACTTATTTCGTATGCTTTCTGAATAATTGTCTGTAAAAGTTATAATACTTTATTAAAAAATTATCTTTATTACTAATTTTTAAACAAAGTTGGTTTGTTTGTATAACATAAATTATGTAAGTATACGCAAAAATTTAAAAAAGTGGATAACAATTTCGGTCTTTTTGAGCAGTTTTTTGATAAATAAGATTTATAATAAAACTTTTAATTTTTTTAAAATTAATTTCACTTTTACAGCATGAATGAAAAACGACACTTATCTTCCACTTTTTCCATGTTTTTATCGATTGTTAATGTGCTTGTGCGTTCGGGGCGTTCGTCATCTTCAACGTCTTCACGGCCATCTTGGAAACTCTTATACCACTTGTAAACTCTTGTTTTACTTATAGCAGACTCACTATAGGCCTGTGTTAATATTTAACAGGATTTATTTCATTTTTTAAGCAAAATTGGATACAAATTCTTTGATCAATTTCTTTTAACAAACGAAAAATCGCCGAGCTCATAAAACACGTCTAACCTTAGCGGCTGCCACAGACAAAGTAAACAATGAAAACAGCTAAAGTTTTTATCATACTTCGGGGGCATGTATACCAACATAATAAAGAAAATTTGACAACCGGACCCTCCGAACCCGCGAAATTTAACAATTCCCGTTATTTTCTGAACACACCTCGTACAGCGCGGATATAGGGGGGGCAATGGGTGCAATTGCCCCCCTAACTTCCTACCGAATTTTTACTGATTTCAAAATTTGTTTTTGTTTTTGGTCCTCTATACCTACATATTTTTTTTATTTAATTTTTTAAGGCAGCATTATATTCTCTAATGCATGCATGGATAACAAACTAAAATAGTATAAAATTTTTTGTTTAGAATGAATTATTGGAAGATTTATCTTCCAAAAAGTTATACCTACACGGAAAAAAATAATCGGTAGAGGCTACCGATAGGCAATCGGTAGCAGCTACCGATTGCCAATCGGTAGGCTCTACCGAAAAAATCGGTAGACTCTACCGAAAAAATCGGTAGTCTCTACCGAAAAAAAATCGGTTCCCTCAACCGATTTTTATCGGTAGTAGCTACCGATTATTTTTCGGTAGAGACTACCGATTTTTTCGGTAGAGTCTACCGATTTTTTGGGTAGCCGTAACCGAGAACAACATTTATTTAATATTAGCAAGTATTTCGACAACATCAGTGAAGATCAAATACTATGCTACAACCATGTAACTTTAAGTGGTCAAAAATATCAGAAAGGTTTGGTTGTTTTAGTTGAGATTGATGATAATAACGATCCAGTCTTCGGAAAAATTAATGAAATAGTCAGTGTAAATAATTGTATATATTTTCTCATGTTCTCGATTAAAACATTGTATTTTGATCAACATTATCATGCTTATTGCGTTGAAATTGATTATAAATCAAGTATGACAAAGAATAAGAGCAAATTACCAAATTTAGAACCTTGTTTATTAATACAAAAAAAAAATCTCTACTGTGTAGCCACCAGACATTTAATTTAATATTTATTTAGAATTGTAAAAAATTTAATAAAAATTACTCCTCATTTTTAATATTTTTGTATTTCAAATTTATTTATACCTCAAAAAAAAATACTATTTTCTATTTAATAAAAAGCGAGTATTTAACTTCTCGCTAAAAAAATACAAAAATTTTCAAAAATTGGTAATCGATTTTTTCGGTAGCCTGCAGCGAAAAAATCGGTAGACTCTACCGAAAATAATCGGTAGCTGCTACCGATAAAAATCGGTTGAGGGAACCGATTGTTTTTCGGTAGAGACTACCGATTTTATCGGTAGAGTCTATAGACGGAAAAAAATCCCTTACTAGGTTTAAGAATAGTTCTATACTTCATGTTAGGAACTTGATTTAAGTATATTTATTATTTCTATGAGATTAGCGTACATTTAAACTAAGTAATGGGATATACTTAATTTTTAAGAAAAACTGTTACTTGATTTGAGATGAGTATTCTTGGATTGAGTTTAAAGGTATTTTATTTTAAAGAAAATTGGTATACTTAAATCAAATATACAATAATACTTAGATGAAAGA